AGAAAAATGAAACCTAACCCTTGTACCTTTGTCTACTTTCTAAATTTACCCATTAAACTGTCCAAAATTATACTGACAGCTATTTTCTCCTGTATGTGGGTACTGGATGCTAGTTTGTATTGTGCCTGAAAATTCTTAAAATTAATGTTCTCAAGCTGTATCTGTACTAGAAATTCTTCCGTTTTAAAGTACGGTGAGAATTTATCGATCGAATTTACTTGATCGAAAAATTGTGAACTTAACGTGAAATCTGCTACAGAATTTAGGAATGCAGATGTTAATTCCATAAATCCTTAAATCACAAAATGTACATAGTATAATGATTTTCCAGGAAAATCCTTGACTTGAATACATGAATTATATTATTAAAATTATGGGATTTTTCTTGGTCACTACATATATAATAACATCATCAAGGAAAAACGACAAAAGTCTCACTTCCAAAGAGTAAAAGAGAGTAAAAGATGCCAACTAAAATTAAGACTCCGTTCATTTCACCGATTTAAGTTTAGAATTCGAGTTTTGTTACAGTAAAAAACTCTCAGAAACAGTCACATTTAATTTTTTTGCTACAATAAAAAACTCTCACATAAAATCACATCTCAACTCGAATTAAAAATTTGAATCAACGAACTAAACGGACCCTTTTAAGTAACCTTATTTGCAAACCATTAAAACTAAGGAAAGTACAGAAGGCTAGTAACAAAGAGAACATAGGAGTTATTTGCCAAAAAAAAAAAAAAAGAGCATAGGGGTTGTCTTACTTGTAAAAGTTTTTACTCGTAACATTTTTTTTTTTTTTTGGGTCAAAGGAATCATTAAATTTTGATGAAACCTTTCTCCTTAAAGCTTTCAACTGTGTCTCTCAAACTCACTTCCAAAGGGGTGAAGTTAATTCCCAAAGTTTTTGCTCTCTCTTTCGATACTTGATACACTTGCATGGGAGGCTTGTCATCTTCACATCTGCCAATGGTGAAGAGCATGAATTTAGTTGCTTTTGATGAAACCATGAGGAAAAAAATGAGCATAACATGAGGGCCAAGAAAACAAAAAAAGAAAAGAAAAGAAAAGAAAAGAAAAGAAAAAAATTCCAGAAGAATAAATAAAAACAAAACACACACATGTGATTTACAAGACACAATTCAGTCTCAAAATGTCTCTCTTCGTGCCTCTGTTTTTTTCTATATAGAAAACAGTTTCCCTAAAAAGTCCCTGATATATCATGAAAATCTGGGGAAACCAATTTACTTAGGGGGCTCGCAGCCCCGAACCCCTGTCGACCATGTTAGTTTACCAATCCATCCTAAAAGCTTAAGCTGTTAGGAAGTGAGCAAACAATAATTTTTATACTTTAATACTCCCCCTCACGTGTGGGCTGGACAATGGGCAATCGTGTGGGTAAATTAATTAGAAAGTCCAACACGTGAATATTTAAACCCGAGATATATTAAAGACCTAATACATGATGACAATTTAAATGGAGATAAATAGTGCAATTACGAGAGTTTGAACTCAAAACCTCCCGCTCTGATACCATGTTAATTTACTAATCCATTTTAAAAGCTTAAGTTGTTAAGAAGTAGGCCAACAATAGTTTTTATACTTTAACAGACCATACCATGAAGATCAAACGACAGTCGACGAAACAATTGAATAGTATAATTAGGCTCCACATAACTCAATAGAAAATACCAACCAAGCTTAGATGTCTTTTGACGGAATCAAAATTGCCTTTATCGATGACTTACTTTTCAGGAACGCTCAATGCAGGGTAGAGTTCTCTCAAAATGTTCAAAGCCTCGGAAATGTGCGCAAGGCGTCCGACTAAACAATATCTTCCACAAGCTGAAGCAGCTTCAAATGCCTGAATGTGTGCCAATGCAACGTCTCTAACATCAACATATCTATACACCGTATTGGGAAATGTTTGACCTCCTCCTGCACACCAAAAGGAAAATAAAAATGGCAGCTTGTTGAACCACAAATACTCAAGAGCTGACATGATGATTACGTCTATATGTAAGCATTTTACTCATTAATAGCATATCATTTTGTACAGAATTATCAAAGATAAAAATGAAGAAAAAGAAAACTCCAGAAACGTGAAGAATCTTTAAAAACTTTTTTTTTTTTCTGAATTATTAGAGACTCAATCACAAAGAAGTAAATTCTGCTAAACTAACAGTATTTCTTGACCTTAAGGATATTTGTAAAATATTTCATGAGACTAATCAAAATATAGTTGCTAGGTAGTTAAGAAAACTGAGTTGATTCTTCAAATTAACATTAAAAAAAGGACGGAAAAAAAAAAGAAAAAAGAAAAAAGAAACTGCTTCAATCATACAATGACAGGGATTAGCCTCTGAAAATGTACCATTTATTAGGTTCAGAATGATCTCTACACTCATACTAGGAGTTGGCTGTAGAAAAGGGCCTATCACAAGTCCTGGATTTATTGTTACCAAGTCAATTCCATTTTCTTTTGCAAATTTCCAAGCAGCATCTTCAGCTAATGTTTTCGATAGCATATACCAAAGCTGTAAAAACAAAACTGATGCAAGTCAAATATTATTCCTCATTCAAAAGATTATGTAGCTATGGATAAAATGCTTTACAGTGTTAACAATGGTAAAAGTGAAAGTACCCAAAAAAAAAAAAAATGAAGGATCACTAATTGGATTTCATATGTGTCAACAAAAACTTTAATAGATAGTACTGAAACTAGAATATACAGTTGATAGACATGACTATTTTGCTGCCTCTAGAATGTATTATGTACATTATATAACATAAAACCAAGGTATAATTAGATTATGGCCCTAAAAACTAAATCAAACTTAACATGTGCATTCAATAGATCAAAGAATCAGCTCGGTTGTTTCTTTGCTGATTTTGATCCATGTAATACTGAAATACCTCCAATTTTCTAATCCATAAATAATGAAGGGAATTTGATGCTTTTAACTATTATAGGAAATGAATAAGTATAGGAAGAGTACAGACACTTGGTTATGTTCATTATTCTTGAAAAATCAGAATATAGCACCAGAAATCAGAGCAGCAGAAGATTTTACCAAGAATACATATAAAAATGACAGGATAAAACAGAACAGCCAAATAAGTAATAAGTTTCTGTCATATGTATGTAGGGTCTTAAAGAAACTTGTGCAAGTTAATAAGTACAAGTACTTGACACATCTACACACCTTTGATTTCTCACAGAAATCTGGATCAGAAAACCATGTCTCGTCAACAATGGTATCTGGCGTCAAACGTTTCCCGTTGAACAAAACCGAAGCCATGGAAGATGTGAAAACCACCTTCTTTGGAGGAGCCTTTGCGCATGACCTCAGAACATTGAGTGTTCCCTTTAGTGCAGGGTCAATCAGTTCTGCCTGAAATATGGGGAGAAAAGTCATTGTTAAAGTCTTCATATGCAACTTTCTATGAATTAGACATTAACAACCTGATTCTCCGTAAAGATCGATATCAAATTGTGCCATTACAGAGATTTGAAGTTACTTTTTTTTCCTTAATTCTTTGAAACCCAGATGCTTAGTTTCTCAACAAACCAACTGTATGTGTCGGTTAAAACAGATCAAAATATTCCCAATATAGTTGATCTAGGCTTGATTTTAAGGGACCATAGGTAATTCCCAATTCCTGTGTCTTCTATCAAAATCAAGAGAAACTAAATCATCTCCAAATTGACGAAAACGAAATGGTAAATATTATCCAATTATGTGAAGGAATTCTCCTCTAAATTAGGAACTAATTAAACTAACCTGCGGGTCGGTGGGTGTGAAAGTCACCGGAGAAGCTGTATGAAAAACACATTCACATCCATAAACAGCAGAATCAAAGGATCCTTCTTCCAACAAATTTGCTTCAAACAAATGAAGCCTTTCTTTTGCCCCATCAAGTGAAACCAAGTGTTGTGTTTTCTTTGGATCATCTGTGTCATACATAATCATCACAATTACAACTTTATATATATATATATATATATATATATATATACACACACACACACACACACATGACAATTGACAACCAAAAATTAAAATTGAATTTGCTAAGAGAACTTTGAAGGACAATCAAAATTAATCCAGAATATGAATATGAAGATTATGCGTAGAAAAACTAACTGAGGTCACGAACTGAGGCTTTGACGGCATAACCACGTTGAAGCAAAAGCTTGACAAGCCATGAAGCTATGTAACCTGAAGCTCCAGTTACACACACCAACTTCTCTGCTCCACTCATTTTCTTTCTTATCCTGATGAAGAAGATGATCAGCAACTCTATAGAAGTGTTTTTTTTATTTTTTTGCAACTCTACAGCAGTTAACTTCGAGCCTTTGTGAGATGATGATGAAAACCGTGAGAATATTTAAGATGATTTTTTTTCCCCCCTAAAAGTAAAGTTATGAAATAATGATATCAAACATTTTGGGTCCACCATCTAGCTGGACAAAAGGATAGAAAAGTGTTGTTTATTTTTTTTTTCTCTCTCTTTCCTTCTTTGGAATAAAAAAAAAAAAATCGCCCGATTTTTTTTTTAAATATAATGCTTTATTGATTATTGTTTAAGGCTTAACTTTATGAGAAAATAAGGAAATACCCCTTAAATAGGTATCACAATCTATTTCTAACTCCTAAGAATTAGCTCATTAATTTTTACTCTTTTATAATTAAAAAAATGAAAATAGTTAAATTAAACATTTTTAAAATTCTAAAGTTACCCTCAATAGTCTATTGATAAATTATAAGATATGCTAGCGGTCTCCTGTCACCAGTCGATTATAACTTGACAGATTATGATCCATAAATTGACAAATTACACCAGTCATCGACGGGTCTCCAGCCATAACCTAACAAGTTATGAACAGATTACACCGGCTACTGGCGATAACTTGACAGGTTCTGAACCATAACCTGACAGATTACATCGATCACGAGCGGGTCGGACCATAACTTGACAAGTTATGATCTATAACCTAACAGATTACACCGGTCACCTACAGATCTCTGGTCATAACCTGACAGGTTATGATCTATAACCTGACAGATTACACTGGCCATGTAGCGACCCTCCTTTGAGGCCACCACTGTAACTAACCTTTTAACTTGTACTTACTGAAATTTCTTAAAATTTACGGAACATTTTTTTTTTAAGGTCTTATAATAAACATAAAATACGAAATTGCTTTCTTAATTAAAATATTCAAACCTTAACATATATGTTTCATAATCATAATTAACAAAACTATTTGTAACATAAAGCTGATTGCGGAAATATTTGCGAGTGGTATCCATATCCCGAGCCCCACATCGTTCGTCCACTCGCCAGCAGTCCATCAGGCATTATATGCCGGTTGCTTACCTACAGTATAAACATTCTATAATGAGCTTTCGCTCAGCAAGTAGAAACTATCTCCCGCAAAATAACTGTAAGTTCACATGAATAAATATGCATGAGCCAATTATGCTTAATTATGATGTCTTATCAGAATCTTATTATCTTATCTTATCTTTCTTACTGATGGGCCCGAGTGCTCGTACCACTTGCGCGCAATCATCGGGACGTGAGGGTTTGCAAGGTCCCCCATGACACCGTGATTATAACTTGAATGCCTCCCTTGAGTCGGAGGACATCATTATTATTTTTTTTTTTTCTCCCTTGTGGAGCTTGAGTTACCTCCCTTGTGGAGGCTGGTACGGCACTCAACTGAGATTACTCTTATAAGTTCCTCTTGACTTATTAAGGTGTATGCAATATGACCTAGCATAGCATACTATATCATGTACTCGAACACATATAATTCGGGTGTACTGCCTAAGTGTATGTAGTATAACATAGCATAGCATTCATAACATTAAATGTACTCAAACATATATAGTTCATGTGTACTGTTTACTTTAAAATCTATTTATACTGTAGTCGAGATTCCTACTTACTTGATTTTCAAAGCTGGAATCCCTTTTTCGCCTATCAGCCTAGTCTCTTGCTTTCTTCTGAAACTGAACACCCATTAAGAGTGTGAGATTAACTATTATTTGCTATTTTATTTTAGCAACTTATGAAGGAAAATCTAACCATTTCCATAAGGCATATATTCCTTTCCTTTACTAAAGGATAATAAAGATTAATTTATTAAATCTTCAAAATCTTATTTTCCTAAATTTCCCTTGGTATGATATTAAGGCCCAATTCGGCCTAGGACTTATACATGGCATTCTAACTTTTACGCCGCTGAAATTTATACTCCAACGGAGTCTCTTAAACTAACGTGGGCGTTGGACCCACATTAAATATTCGAAATTCTACGGACCTATCGTATTGGGCTCGTAGGTGCCCGTCAGGATAATTCGCTCGGTAAACCTCTATGTTCTTTAAAGAAATCATTTTTCCTTGAAAAATTTCTTCATCAATACTTTTATTAAAATGAGGTTTAATGTCATTGTATTTTACTAAAATTCTATCTCGGGTTCTTTTATGACTTTTTTGTTGAAACCGACACTGTTTTAGTTTTGTCTCGTAAAAAAAAACTGTGCAGTTTCTGAAATCTACGTTTTACTGTATCTTAGAGTCGGATTTCAAATTTTTGTTCTGTGCGACAATTTCTCGTCTCGTCGACATCTAAAATTGTCGTTTTTGGTAAAAGTTGAAATTCGGCCTCTAAAGGCCTCGTTTGGCTGAAAACCGTAGCTGCTGTTTTGTTTTAAACTGTTCAGTCAAAAACTGTGCCGTTTCGGGAATCTGTGTTTTAGTACCTCTTAGGGTCGGATTTTGAAAATCTTTTCTTCGTGAAATTTCTTTCTCTCGTCGAAAACTAAAATTGTCACTTGTGTGAAAAATCGAAATTCAGCCTTTAAGGGTCCCGTTTGGCTGAATTAGTGGCTGCCAGTTTTTTTTTT